CAAAAGAATTAAAGATTCTGAAAATGTTTAATTTATTTTATAATAATCCGTATCTCGAGAAAAGATTTAAAACATCTAGAAATCAGTATTCTGAATTCGTAAAAGAACAAAATACATATTACAGAATGTGGTCTAGGAATTCAATGGTCAGTTTGTGACTAAAAGAGCAAGACGTTTATTCGGCAAATAATACAAAACTATTAAAACATATCACAGTATAGATTCTACAAAGCATTGAAGAAGTGACAATAAGAACAATGATATCACAGATAAAGTACGAACACCGGTATCATGATACCTTGTCAGAACAATAGGTTTAGTAAATGACAGCCGTGTTTAACCAAAATTCGATCATATATCTTAATTACAAATATCAATTCATTCAAAGCTGATAAATAAATGACTTACTGGGATATCCATGTAGATTTAATTACAATTAGAGACAAAATATGAAAAATACATTTTAATAATTTAGCATAAACAATCAGTTTTCAGTCTAAAACTAAAATGTTTATTAGATTGAGTTTGATGTGAGTCATCATATAATGTATCAGAAAAGGGACTGTGACAATCACGCCATTCTTCACTTCTCAGTCCAGAACTAGGATGTCTATTAGATTGAGTTTGATGAATGGTGTCATACAGGGTTTCAAAGAGAAACTTTGATAGTCGCACCATTCTTCACTTCTCAGTCTACAACTATAATGTTTATTAGATTGAGTTTGATGTGTGGTATCATAGAGGGTTTCAAAGAGAAACCATGAGAACTACATAACATTTTACTTTTAGACTGGCGAAAATAAGGTTTCAGAGTATCTTGTTGTGTTTGTTTTGCAAGTCAATATGGAATTATAGCGTTTCAGGTGCACTCAGAAAATTGAGGAAGAATCACCCTTTGCGTAGCGATGTGATAAGTAATATATTTGTCCTGGGGAAAATTAGTTTTCCGTTTTTGAAGAAACTTTGTAGACAAACTTTGGATGTAATTAAGTCGAGAACATAACATTACTTTATAAGGTAAAAAGGTACTTCGCTTGGGTTGAGACTATATTCCGACAGGTTTTTATATATCAGTTGCGTTTTCATTGCTCTACAAAAGCAAGGAAGTATCTACATATCAATATCAAAATATAACAAAACCTTAAATTATCTTTTTTATATAATCCCAGTAAATTTCATTTGTTTCAGAAAACTAAGAAAAAACAGAAACAGAAAGAAAGAAAATAAAACACCAAATTACTTATAGACCCCTTCTTCGAGTTATCCCTTTCTAATACCGTTAGTTTACTTATGATCTGAAGCGTGAAAAAGATTACTTCAATCTGGTTTTGATCTAATTGGGGTCATACTGAGAAAATCTTTTTAAGTTTCTGTTACTACTTCCTTTCATAGGCAGACCCACGAGTTTCATCTATGCGATTTTAGAAACAAGTAATGCACTTTCACATTTAATGAATATTTCATATTGCCTGACAACAGAGGGGTGGTTTTAGTTAATATTTCTTGTGTTACATATTAGAATTTCAAATGGTCTGTAATTGAGTTAACTGATACATTCAAATTTAATAGTAAGATTGTACTTTGGATTTAGTAGTTAAGTAAAAGCCGATATGTAGTCAGTTTATGATATTTGCCAACAAGATTGATACACATACTTTTCTTCTTTTTAACACAAATACGTTTTAATATACACACAACAATACAATTTACAATAACAGTTGTTATAAATAGTTATTATAAACAATGATT